TTTGCCTCAAAAGAGTTTAACAGTCCTTTCTGAACCAAAGTTTGGACCCCCCCCCCCATCAAAAATTCCTGGATCCGCCCCTGTGGCAGGAGTTAAGAGTGAAATCAAGGCACCGATATACATTGATTGACATAGAGCGAGCAGCCGATGGTCTGAATCGCTTCCAGGCCATATTGTCATCTTCATCTTGCTGTTCGTCTTCACTGTCATCAGGTAAGCTCGCACTAATGATCTGATACTTGAATCGCGAATTGCCTACTGACAAGGTTTATCGACGAACTGACAATTCCACTCTCGACCCTCTCTGCTTAAGCCATTGTATTTGAGGTAATTCATAGAAGGCCTTATTTCAACTACTAGTTCAGTAGTGTTCATAACTGCGAGGGTCGATTTTATATTCGATTCTTTAACCGCGGTGCAACATGTGATTTTCAAATGTTTACAGCCATTATACATAACAAGTCATTGAGCCCATTAACACCCGTAGTTCTTATTTCAGTTTTCATTGATGCGTTTTGTTCAAATGTCAAAGTGTCCTTTCAGATGCTTTCCCAATGACGGGAGTTTGCTTCCTTCATACATAGTGCCTACGTATGCTAACAGTTTGCCAATTTTCTACGGAAGTTAAACATTTCATTACTTTAACTTAACAAACAGATAGCTCTTTTGTTTAAGCAGAAAAACCCTTGGGCTAAAACTCGAATCGAAAATGAGCTTTCGACCGTTCTCTCTTCAAGGACCTTCTGTTTACACTAATGAATGTCAGTTTTATTCATGAATACGATTTGCTTTTGCCACAATGGAATGAACAATGTTACTCTATGATTAGACTGACTTGGGCGATATTCTTACTCTCCCTACTTGTTTCAGCTACATTACTGGTATTTTTCCCTTTGTTCACAATCATTTACCAAGCCTTTGAAAGGCAAAAGGCAAACTACTTATTACAAACTTCTCTCCGCTTATTGGAGTCTTTCTGAAAGTGATTTGCAAGGACTTCAGTTCAAAGGTGGTGCGACATTGTTACCCTTCCTGGATTTTCGTATGTCCTGCCAGCACCAGCGGATATTTTAGCTTTGCAATTGTATTAAGAGATTTGAAAGTTGATTTGACCGTTTACGATCCCTGTTATTTCTTGAAATAATTCATAGCGTTGCAGAGGTCATGGATCGAAGCCTTCTGGTTGTTACTGTTCGTTTTTGTCACGTGATTTTGAAAAAAGGATCGGCTCTCTTAGAGCCGAAAGAATTTCGCATGCCTATAATCCAAAGACATTTGCAGCTACTGGCATGGCTTCTGCAGGCTTGTTGTTTCCTTACCCATTTCCATCCGTTGGCGATCCTTCCTTAGCCACAACAAGAAACTTTCAACGTAACAACTAGATAACAACAAAAAATTAAAAGTGCACGACATACTAAGGAAAGGAAAACAAAAAGAGCTTGAAATACTAACAAAAAAACGGACGACAAGGAAAACTAAAAAACGATAAGGCAGTAACGTAACAATCTGTCCATAAAAAGCGCACGAAATACTAACGTAATAATCTGTCAAAAAATTAAAACTAAAATTGCTCGGGGAACTAACGAAACAGTCGGACAACAAAGAAAACTAAAAGTGCACAAGATATTAACTTATCGAACGGACAGTAAGGAAAACTAAGAGTGCAAAAGATACCGACGTAACTATCGGAGAACAAGGAAACTAAAAGTTAAAGAGATTCTAACGTATCAATCGGGCAACAACGAAAACCAAAAGTGCGCGAGCTACAAACATAATAATTGCAAACCCAGGAAAATTAAAAGACCGTGAAATATTAACGAAACAAATCAAACAACAAGAGAGCTTAGGTGTACGAGATACTAACATTACAATCGCATAACAAATTGAACTAAAAGAACATAAGATACTATCGCAACAATTGGACACATACAAAAACTAAAAGACCGTGAGGTACTGACGAAAAAATCACATCATGAAGAAATGTAAAATGGTTTCCGTGTTTACATAGCTTGATGTAAACACGCGGGAGGTTGGGAAAACATGAGATGAGCGTAGGAAACCACGACGCGAAGCGGAGTGGTTTCCAGCTTATCGAGTGTTCTCCCAACCTCCGAAGTGTTTACATCAGGCTATATAAACACGGAAACCATTTTACATTTCTTTTATAAAATAATTAATAAAAGAGGAATGAAATATTCTGCAAAACTTGTATTTATTAAGTTGATCAAGATAACAATTCTCCCGGAATCGCCACCATTCAATCAAAATTGCCCTTTAAAAACAGCTCAAGAGCTTTCAAGTCCTTCAAAGAAACTCGTGTTCGTAGAGATGCAATGGATGCGATTGATTGATATAAGCGAAACAAACGCGTCCACAAGAAATGTTAAAAGAAAAAGTAAGTGAAATATTCTTCCAACTTCACGTGTCGAAAGCCAGCAAGGGACCTCTTGTTCAAGAGTTCAATTGTTTAAGAAGATCCGTTCGGAGGCTGTTGAAAGTTTATGTGCACGTCGCCAAACTTGCAGGCGATGAATAAACCAGAGAAATTCACTACTCTTTCACTACCGAATTCAAGCGAAAGCTGGCTTGATTGATTGGTTATTGGCATCAAAATATCGCGGCGGGAATTCGGACTTTGGTCACCCAATGCTTCTGAAATAACGTTGCTGCACTCTCGTAGCTGATTTTCAGATGGACGATCGTTATAATGCTTGAGGCTTTGCTCATTTCGGTGTCCCGAAATTGCTATGATTTGACGGCTTGAAATGCCAGCTTGCGACCACAAAGTTATTGCAGTTGCTCGCAGAGAATGGTTGGTGTAAATACGTGAAAGTTGGGCTTCTTGACTGATCTCGCGCATCATGTTGCCGAGTTTGTTGACGCTGAGTGGGCGATTTTCGTACCAAACGTTGTCACTTGCTTGCCAATCTCTTTTCGGAAACTGAAAGAAAGCTTGGCATCCTGGATTAATTTTTTCCAAATAAAGCTTCATTGCAGAATATCCATCGCCTGCTTGTTTAGTTTCATACATTCGCCCATCTTTTTCATAAGTTGTGATGTCGGCAACTCCTCCTTGGTGGTTTTTGGTGCTCTCGTCATGGGCCATTGTAAAATATGCTTAGCCTCTTGCATCTTTATCAAAAAATAAAGCTTTGCGGAGTTAAAGAGCGCTGACCTTCTCGACCTCGGCGACACCAATAAAGAGTGGTGTGAAACCATACATTTCTCAACAGTCCAAGCGGAGTTGACGGGAGGAAAACACTTGAGGTTTTCAATTTTGTTAGATCTTCAGGAGCTATAGCGGGCTTGTGAGTAATGTTTTCTTTCCCTTCTTTTTTCAGCATTTTTATTTTTGCGTCTAACATTTTGTTAGAACTCTGAAAGACCGGGTTTCCTGGCATTTTTATTCCTCGTTTGAAGGGAGCGTTGTTGAGGTAGCGCTCAATTGCGTTTCTGAAGCCGAGAAGCGAAGAACGGCTGTAGTCTTCCCCTTTCTTTGTTCTTGCTTCAGCGTAAAATTTCCGCAAGTGTGAGTCAAGCTCAGATGGAGTAATGGTCTCTAGTGGCTTTAAAACTGCCTTTCAGTCGCCCAATCTTGAATAAAAATGGCGATAGAATTTTAATTTTATTGTTTTCTTTTATTTCAATTGTTTGTTGTTTTATAAACACGTTCAAAAGTTTGTTATACTATCGGTGTTTATACTGATTTACGTACATGAACGAGTTACAAATATTAGTACTGTAAATTTTACTGGGGTTTGCAATTAGTACTATTTCAAGTTTTCCTTGTAAAACGGTAAAAATACTTTACCTTTAAACGTTTTTACCCTGTTCAGAGTGGCATATTTGGTTCTTTTCGCTTCCGAACCAGTTATAATTTCATCAAGAGCCTCTTCTTGCAACGAAGGAAAGCGACGTGCTTGTTGTTGTTGTTGATTTGGCTTTTCGGCCGTTTCTTGAATACTGGGAAAATTAAACTCCAAAGAAAAATTAGGAAAATCTTCTTCTTCCATTACTGTACTCAAAACAAACTTAAAGAAACTGAGTTACTGCTAAATAAACAGCAGGGAGAACTCCGCGAGAAGATTCAGTATGAAAGCTGTGTTTACATACGCTCATGTAAAATGGTTTTATGGCCAATCAGAGCGCGCGCACCATTTGAATTATTTTATAAAATTAAATCAAAAGTGCACGAGATACTAACGTAATAAACATAAAGAGCACGACAGACCAACGATTACCTAACAAAATAAACGAATAGAGCACAAGATAATAGCGTACCACTGAAACAGGAAAGAATATTTAAAGACTCAAGATACTAAAGTAAGGAAAGGACAACAGCAGGACTGAGGGACTTTTGCCGACGCAAGGCGGGAAAGCTCGTAAGTGATCAAGAAAATAATCGGAAAGACAATTTCGCTGCATTAGTAAAGTGGGTAGTGTAAGTACGCACTCGAGAAAAGACCTGACCCTCGACGAGCGCATTGAGCCAAAAGTTCGGAAGTTCAAAAATAATTCTAGTTATCCGTATTGTAGTGACTCATTAAAACCACCTGTCTCAAGTCAAGTCGCCTAATAAAAAATCACCGCACTTGTTTAATGCAATCAAAAGCGAAAATTTTCTGTAGATATCCTCGAGGCGGTTGAAGACCTTGTTCCATCGCTTAATTCACCCCGATTCAAACATACCATCTTCATCTATTAACCATCTCCATTAACTTCGTCATTGCGCTAAAGTATCACATGTCGACAATACTTCCCTGGGAGTATGCAGGAAATTTGTCACCATAGACCTTGCTAAATGCACTATCATGATACGAATCTTCTATAGCTCATGTCAAAGCGTCAGAAATACCCATATGTTCGAGTCCTTTTGAGAGCACTCTGCATCGTTATTTTTTTCTGAGTATGCCTTTGTCGTGTACTGAATTAAATCTTCTTTGAAAGACCACCAGGCTTAAAAATTTTCATCGTCACTGGCATCGTCATTGCGAATAACCACCATAGATCGACATACCATCCTCGCAGTACGCAGGTAATTTAACACTATAGACTTAGTTAAATGGCCTAATTTGGCACACGTTCCTCAAAGCTCAGTGATACGACTAATTCAGTATCCCAAGTACTCATCGACACCTTTTGGGAGCTCACTGAATTTTTTTTTTCTCTTTGAATATGTCTGTTTCGTTCTCTGAATAACGTCCTTCACTCAAATCACCAGGCCTCAATATTTTCTTCGACGTATTGACATTCTTATCCTTGCAGTATGCAAGACATTTGTCACTATGGACCTAGTCAAACGGCCTAGCTTAGCACAAGTACCCCACAGCTTAGTATTACAGCGTTCGAAGTACTAATGGCAGATCATATGTTTCTAGGCCTACTGTTAGCAGTCGGAAGTCTTTCTTCCGAGTATGCCTGTTTCATTCACTGAATAACAATTTCTTTAGCTCAGATTTCCAGGCTTCAATATTTTCTTCTTCATTCGTATCATTATTACACTAGGCATCACATATCGACATTCCTATACTCGCAGTTGGCGGGAAATTTGTCATCATGAACCTAATTAGACGCCGGCCTATTTTGCAACGAGTTTCCTATTGCTCAGTGGTATACCGCAGCGGTAAACTAATCCAAAGGTCGTTGGTTCGAATTTTATTGGGAGCACTCTGAATTTTTATCTCCTTGAATATGTCCGTGTCATTCATCGAATAACATTTTCCTTCACCTAAATCACCAGGCTTAAATATTTCATCGTCTTTTCCGTCATCCTTTTTCTTAGGCAGCACGTATCGACATTCCTATTCTCGAAGTTTGCTGGAAACGTGTCACCATGCATCTTTTAAATGCACGGCCCAGATTGCCGCAAGTGTCTATCGCTCAGCTGTAAGCATCACATATTGACATTCCCCTCGCTTTCACAAGTGAGATTATATTGGTTTTTCCCGCCTTTCGGGGCGGCCATGCAAACGGGCCATAGGCCTTCAGTTATACTAATATACCCATCCCCTCCCTCAAAAGTTATTTTTATACCCGCAGACGACGTAAAAAGGAAAGTAAATTAAATGCAGAGTACAGTCCATGTATCTTTAATAATAAACAGGAGCAAAATATTTTTTGAATGAGTTTGAAACCTTTGGTCTTGTGTGCATGACGTTGTGAGGTGAGAGGAGCAGCCAAGTTATTTTCCTATTTCTTTTTCAGCTCTCCCACACGAAGTTACGCAACGTGCGCTCGAGCGGAGTGGACTTGTCTTTCTTCCCTCCGTTTATAACTCATCTGAGACAAACCAAACAAGATGACTGGAAAAGATAGCCAACTTAGAAAGGAAAATCAGCAATGTCAGTTCAACGTAAAAATCACAGGATTACCGTTGGTGGCTTAACAGGAGTCTTCAGAGCAAACGGCAAATCTTTGCTTACAACTTTTTTAAAAAACAAGAGTCAAAGAAATATCAATTAATGATATAGACATTGCTCGTCGTGTGCCATCAAGAAAACCATCCAACCGGCCGAACGCAGTCGTTTGCAAATTTGCACGTCCACTGGCGAAAGAGAAGGTGATGACAGGTGATCTCTGGAATGAGATACCTTATGAATATAAAGATTTTTTGGAGAAATCTTTAAAAAAAGAAACAAAAAGAGCCCTCCTCAGTATTCTAGAGACTGAAGATTCTGCTATGGAGCCTGATAAGATAATGCTAATTCAAACAGGATAATTGAACCAAACTGAACCAGTTCCACAATATGTTTTGTACACTTAGAACATCTAGGACTTTTCCTTCTTTACAATAAACATCTGTCATTTTCCTTTTTTTCTTTTCCTGTGTATCTTTCTGTCTTTTTATGTTATATTTCTTCATTTCCGTTTTATTTCCAGTGTAATTAAGTTAAGTTAGTTGAGAAAAATAAATTGACCCGCCTTGATTAGCATTTGCTATCTGCGGGTCAAAGGAATATCTTGTAAATATGTAAGAAAATAAAAATAAAAATGTGAAAGTGTAAAATTATGAAACAGCTAAGCTTATTGTGTGTTGCATACAATGCGATCCGACTGGCAGACATATAAAGAAATCAGCTTGCTTCTTCAGCCAAAGCTTCGGTATAAAAAATACACCAAAGAGAAGAGCAGTTTCGTTTAACTTCTTGCAAAGCACTTCTTAAGAAGAATTATATCACAGTCATGGGGAACCAAAAAAAAGGCTTCAAGGGATGACATTAAAAAGTTGAAGCCATTTTAGCCGCATTCAAGTGCTTATTTGTACTTTTAACGTTTAACTGCACGTGAAAGTTTGTTTTGTTTACCATTTTGTGCGACCTGGGCATTTGTAGCATGTGATATTTTATAACGAGGCTGTAAGTTGTGTTTTAATTGGATGAGTGCAACTTTTTTAAATTGTCACTCACGGCAGAAATTGCTTTGAGATGAGTCTCAGCGTAAGCCGTGTAAGACCAGACTGCACGTTAATCTATTTACGCTTTTATGATATGTGCAAATGCAACTAGTATACCTTTTCCCAGTTTCTTAATCCTTCCACTGGTATGTACACTAAATAAAGCAGGTTGAGAAAGGTGGAGTAGAAAATGTATTTTACCATGATCCTATTTAACTTAGAGGAATGGCTGTTTTTAATGGTGCATTAAGTGCTTTTAGCATGCTATTACTCCTATGCTGTTTCCTGAAAGTAACTGAAATGTTTTACTTTTAGAACTAATTTAGGGGATTACCATTTCCGTCCATGATAAAATTTTCAAATCAATTGGCATTAATGGATTAAGTTAATTTACTAACCAGAAGTTTACATGGATGTTTTCAAATTTCCTTCGATGGAATAAACTAAAATATCATGAATGGGAATAAAGATTGCTCTTACTCAATGATGTTCTTCTTTAAATTACCATTAATAGTTATTTGATTCCAACCATGCATGGGAATTACAAAGAAAGAAAACAATGGTGGGTTTTCTACATAAGTGACAATTTCCCACGAAAGGTACATGAAAGTTAAAACAACAGAAAACATCTTATTTGAACTAACAACTATGTTTAATAAATATTCCACAGGAATGTTACATTACATAAAGCCATCCGTGGCAAGTTTGCACTAACAATGAGTGAAATTTGTAATTTACATTAATGTGAATTTGTAAGAGAAACATTAATGATAGATGTTCTACTTTTACATCGATGTATTTTTCCATGGGAATTGACAGGATCTCATTCACTTTTACATATATTATTTTTTGCAATTTTTTCCTGTGTATTAGAGGCGTGTCCTGCAGCAAAATCCTACTGGTAGACGTGTACAGCGAAGTCAACGCAGGTCGTGTCCATCGTGTTTAGGCCATCCTCGACAACCAAAGTAACAGCTCCCTTGTTAATAGCAAACTCGCAGACGAGCTTGAAGCCCTCAGTCTGGCAGAGGAATACCACCTGTCTACGTGCAGTAACGAGAGGGAAGAGAGGCAAGGACGTTGAAACTGTCACTACCTATGCTTTTTATGATAATGGCAGCGTTGGCCGTTTCTCTAACAACAGTTTGGCATGGGCGAAGAAAAGACAGAGCTACAGTAGAGGTCGTAGGTTGTGGGTGTGGGTCGTGGGGAAAAATAGAAGTATGGTTGTAAAATTACAAGAGTCGCCTTATTTTTATGAAATATTTCAATTACTTACCAATCACCTTCCCCACCTGCACAGTCAGTTAAAAGGTGGATCCACAGAACACAGGATCACCAGAAAGGCCTTTAGGCACTTCACAAGATTTTTTTTCACCTTTTGTTCCAAAATTCAACAACTCGTATAATTATATTTAACAAGATATATTTGCATTCAACAACACTTTCTTGTTCAACTTCAATCTTTCCTCTTTACATTCAACACCTATATTTATTCAACTTCACTGAAATATATTTGTATTCAAAGCTACATTTATTTTCATATTGAGCTCTAACACATAATCTACTTTGCTGCTATGCCATTTGCATTCAACTTCTACCTCCGTATTTTGCTTCAAGATTTGAATGCATACATTCATATTCAACTTAAGGAAGTTTATTGGCATCCAACAATTACTAAAGTTCCCAGAAATTCTCAAATGTTCATTCAACGAAAATTCCTTAGCCCCCCTCCCTCAATATCGGTTTGATCTGACATTTTGCTTGCTATCAACAGACTTTGGACTCTTCACTCTTCTAGTTGTCTTTCTCAGATCAGCTTGGATCCTGTTGAGTGTAGTCGAGTATCTGAGACCTTTACGGACTTTACATGGAAGCTACCCCGATCCTATTTTACCCAGAAATCATAGAGGCTTTGCTAGTGCACATACTCTAAACAAAATGGCATCGGGTAGAAAGGAAGAGCAATTGATCACTGAAACTCTTCGAGAATGTGTTAGAGAGGAGTTACAAATGCAGAGAAGAATAAGTAATAGTACCCTTTTTCTGTAAACCCGAAATCTCAGAGCCTATTCAACAAGATCTGCTTCAAGAAAGGTCGCAAATTCGGTTGCAATTAACTCCAGTTCTGTGCCATCTCCATCTGGCATAAATTCCATATCTTTGCCATCTACATCAGGCCTGGCTTCGTCAAGGCAATCTTCGTCAATTAGTTCTGGGGCAAAGGCAAGCTCACACAGCCACCCATGGAGGCTTAAAAAGGGTAAACAGAAGATGCCACCAAAACAAGAATTCAGGCCTAAAGCTATACATCTCCTAGATATGTATATGGTCGCTGACCATGACAAACACTGTGATGAAGACTTTATAGCAGACTACCCTGTTAAGGACAAATACATTCTTTTAAATATTGAATTGGGTACTGCTCAGACACAGAATGAAACGCAAAGCAGTATTTGTGAGGTAATTAAACAACGTTTCCCCACGTTGAAAGCCACCATTTTGTCAAGAGGGACAGAAGTAAGATAACCACACCTTTAGTTAACAAGACACTGACACGGGAATATAAACACATAGAAGAGCTGTTTGGACAGGGGAAGTTATATGTTCGATTGAATACACCCAAAGAATGTATTGAAAAGGTTACTGTCATTAGTGATGCCTCAGATGATGAGGAATCAAAATCTGATGAGGAACTAGTAGATGTTCAAAACCTAAGTAGAAGCATGTGGCATCATGGTCCTATTTTCCTTTACCACCAGGAGGCATCTGTCAACTCAACTGCAAGCCAAGTTTCAGAGACTGCAGAAGATGACCCAGAAGTCAGCCCTGTGGTACAGGCCTTGGCAACTCATTCTGCCTAACAAGAGTCTTGGGACCAGCCCCTTCTCTAGGTTTTCACAGTGGGCAACCCTTGTTAGGGCGATTGGAACACTTCTCTCCTTTGTCCAGTCACATCGTCAAAAAGCCCCCGAGTACCACTTATAAGGCGCACCATTTTTAACGAGAAAATATGCTTGCTTGATCAAAATCTGCTCAGAACTTGGGGTGTGTCAAAATGTAACTTTTCCAAATTTCCCTAATAAACTGAAATGAGTATGTAAATAAATACCAGTAAATGAATAAACAAAAGACAAACAACGTTGATCATCGACTTTATCTGATTTGTTGGTTCTAAAAAGAACCGGGGTGGCTCTGAAAATAATTCATAAATTACTGAAAATTTACGGTACGCTGAACAAATGCTCGAAGATTAAGATGAGTTTTGCAACTGATGAATGAAAGATCTCTCAGATGAGTATTGTTTATTAACGTAAAAACATATCAATTAGTATTCATAACTTAAAACACTGTCTCCTGAGAAGGATGATTTGAGTGAATTAAAAAGTATGACTTTTATGCTATTTTCCACGTGTGACGTTTTTGCTATTGTTTGTAATGTGTGACTTTTTCGCTTTTGTTTTGGGAATGAGAGAACTACAATTGGTAACTTTTGGAAGCAAATTGTTGTAAGTACAGTGAATGTGGTAAACAAAATTTCCCGTAATTCTTGGTGTGCCTTATAACAGGGTATTTAAGTGAAATTTTCATTTTGCTTACTTGTCACAATCGTCTTCAAAAGTTTAGGGTGCGTCTTGTAACCGAGTGCGCCTTATAATTGGATAAATACGGTATATGAAGTTATGATAATATTTATATAGTTATGAGCATTATTTCGTTTATTATTTTATGAATCATTGATATCCCAACCTACCCAATGTATTAATCTTTTCAATAAACAGTTTATTTTGGTTTTAGATAAGGGATGTCAGCAAAGATCTGAATTCTCTTAACTCTGATCAAGATTTCATCCAATTGCTGTCAGAATGTGGGGAGACACGAATGTTAATAGTGAGTTTTCTTAATGAAATAAACATGACTATAACTTTTAGATATAAGAAGTGCGTCCTTAATTTCGTTAACAAGCTAAAGCGAAGTAAAGAACTTAACTGTTCTGGCCTCATTTCCTTGCATTATAAAAACGGAATTGGTTCCAAACCACCCCTTAAAGTTGAATTTTTGTGGCTTACCTTCTAAAATTGTTTCATATCACTCAAAAAACTTCTATACCAATTCTGATCTTGTACAATGTTTTGTCATAATCTTTCTGCTAACAGACCTGACTCTTAGGAAAGGCCCTACCCTGCTTTTTGCCGAGCTTAATGTAGTTCAAAGTCTTTTGACCTTCAATGTTCTTACAAATAATGTATCAATGTTAGATCAGATGAGGAAAGGACTTTCTCTCCTTGGTCTCTTGGAAGAAATTGAAAAGAACCCCAACCTCTTTGAGCATTTCTTTGTACACCAGGGAAGCAGATTCACACCTGCATATGTCAAGGAGCTTCTAACAATCAAAGAGTGTGGTACAGATGGAGCAACAGTTGAAGATGCTGAAAGATATACACGACTCTAGTTTTCATTTATAGAAACAGTAATGAGAAAAAATTATCTTACTTACTACAGTTTATCACTGATACCACTGAAACCTGCTGTTCACTACCTAGATCAGTCAAGGTATATTTCACTAATTCTGATGCCCTATTTTCCTCAGCATATTTGATGGAAATCAAGATCCCAGCATCCTTCAAAACCCAAGAAGAATTTGATTTGGCAGTCAAAGCTGTTGCAAAGGGGAATCTATTTAATTCATATTGATAAAAGTGAAATATTGTCTATCTGCCCCTTTGTTACAATTCATATTTATTAACTGTTATAATGGTTACCATTTGTTTATTGTTATTGTTTTACATGACATTGTTATTGATATAACTATTTTATTGTTTCATCTTTTGCAATAATAACTAATAGGTGAGTGTTATTTTATGCATGGAAGTTTGATCTTTGCTCGTATAATTTGTTGCATTTGAATATTTTTGATAATTTTTTGAACATCCCACACATAAACAATATTTTTTACCCGATGAGAACAAAATTGCCAAGTAATCAAAACTAATCTTTATGTTGTGAAATAGGTTGTTGTTCATCGTGGTAGTGGAATGATATTATAAATTTGCTCTGTTGTCTTGCAAAAAAAAGAGGCAATTGACAACCCAAATAACATAAACAGAGTTTTTTACTAAAACATGTTTTTTACTAAAGTTCTTGTATACAAAGCCTACTTCTTTTTTAAATCTGACCGATTGACTTGATGAGTCTTTGCAGTGTTGTTGTCACACAATAACTCATTCGCATCTAAAGCTTTTTTGGTCATTGGCGATGTTCACCTTGCTTTATTCGCCTTCAGATCCTTATAAACCTTGTTAGAAATAAAAATAATTGTTTCCTTACTGAAGATCTTGTCCAGAAAGCCAAGTTTCTTACAAAAATCTGACCGATTGACATGATGAGACTTTACAGTAATGTTGTCACACAATAACTTGTTCGCGTCTGAAGCTTTCTTAGTCATTGGCGATGTTTACCCGGCTTTATTCGCCATGAGATCCTCATAAGCTTTGTTGGAAGAAAAAAAATTGTGTTTTTCCGAAAGATCTTTTACTTTTCTATGTGTTTAACTTCTAATAAGATGTAGTGGATTTAAGACCAACTCGCCGACGTTTCTACTCAATTTTAAACGTCAGCAAGTTGGCATTGGCGAGTTGAACCATCGGTGAATTGACCGCAATTCCTGAAGAAGACTTGCAATAAGCAGTGGAATTGTTGCATTTTACATCAAGTAACCTTGTCGTGAGACAACAGAACAAACTTATTATATCAGTTATCTTTATCTTTGATTGATCTTAAAATCACTGTTGTAATAATTAAGAGTAGTAATCATATTGAACTGTTTGATAAAAAGGCTCATAAAAAAGCTTGAACTCCTATTGTTAAAATCATAATAATGGTCTATTTTCTTTGGAGATATTATATAAATTACTTTAACAAAGAAAACACAATTACTAAGTGTGTTATTTTAAAAAGATACACTACGTGAAGAGTATAGACAATGTATCTATAGTAAATTTACAGGGCAATATTGATTTTGTCAGTGCTGTTTGGCACATTTTTGTCTGTACTCTACTGTCCAAGGCTAATTAAATATAACAAAATCTAAGGACATTGATGGGGAATATAATTTTGTGAATAAAAATAAACACACAATCAACTGTTGAATGATGCTCCCCTATTTCATATCATGTGTCATTCTCTTGAGTATTAGTTCTCTGTTTACACAGGTAACCATTCTAGTTTCCATCATCCTCGACTGGTAACGCTTGAGGAGAATAGAAAGAACAAATGAAAAAGAGTGAAAAAATCAATGTTGCAACAATTTGCTTATCACATTGTGATTATCAAAATCCTGTCAACTCGGACATTACAACAGCTAGATTTGAACACCTCTCTCAAAAAAGTCAATTCCAAAATAACTTGAAGTAGCAAGTGGATTGATGTCATTATAAAGACGTGTGAGTATCTCACTTGACAGTTCAAAATCCACATCTTCAAACTCAACAGTGAAGAGACCATCATCAGGTGGAAGAGGTGCTCCAAGGTCAAAGCCATTACCCTGCAAGTCATCATATGATGGATCTCTGTCACCTCTTGCATCTGCTATTGCACAAAGCCCACTATTAACTCTGTCAATCATTCTAATGGACCAGATTTGCTCAGGGCTCCAATCCCTCTCGGTTCTCATGGGGTGTTTATTCCAAGCTGCATAAAACTTTTGATTGCAGCATTATTCTTAGAAGATAAGCATAATGAAGCATGGACATATGGAGTGTGTTAGTGATATCAAGCACACGAGATTCTTGCATTGACTGAAATGTGTAGTAAAACACTCTTCCAAAACATTGAAACACATCTTGCCACGAACGGTCTATGCTCTAACTGCGCATAGAATTCCCAACCAAAACTGATCCCCTTCCGTTTCCTTAGACAGCATTCATGTGTTCCCAGATAAGAACATTTTTTCCACCATGGTCTGTACAAATACAGGAAGGCCATGAGTACTTCTACACACTTCCTATGAAGAGCTCGCAGTTTCCTTTCTGTAGTTGGTAGAACACCTGAGGAAACAAATCAGTCGGGAAAAGCCATCTATGCCACCGTGAATTACAAAACCCCAAGTTATTAAACTGTGTTGACTGTCAATATGCCATGACCTGTTCGGACCAGCAATAGAATAAGTTCTCTTAGAAATGACTGTGGCCCACCGTATATGCGTATTTATGGGATCTACACACGCAATACTTTCTCATATGATTTCTTTGGACTCTGATTCCTATATCTCTCAGGTGACCATGAACTGTTGAGTAGCCAAAAAGACATCCTTGGCTACTCCTAAAAGAATGAATAATATCGTCGAGCTCCTCATTTTTAATATCAGAGAAGCCAGTTATCTTCTCAATACCTAGCTCCCCTTCCCCGATGCCATATAGTCCAACACTTAACAGTAACAAGTAACAGTCAAGCTATATCTTTTCAAGAAAACCCAAGGCTTCTGAAATGTAATAGGGTTTCATCTTCGATCCTAAATTTAGGTCTGCCTGGTCTATTGCTTTGACAGCTCTTGGGTGGGGTGACTGAGTATACAGCCAAATGTGTATAATTTGGGGTGGCTCTGAGCTCGAATTCTTGTAATTTATCGCACCATCTGTGAAATAACTGAAGATTTCTCTCAGCTTTCGCCCAGTTTGTCTTTTCGCTCATCTATGACAGGTAATATGTGTTCTAATAATTTCTCTGCAACTTCCAAGCGAGAAATAATTGATTTGATTAAAGGCTTACTTGTACAATTTTCGTTCTCCCCACAAAAACTTAGCAATTCTAATATGTCAGCAAAACAATCCACAAACTATTCAGACAAATGATCTGCCATTTTGAATGAGTAGTATCTGAGATGGACTAACACCACATTTAGTGCCATTTGAGGGAGGGGGGCTAGTGCATTTTTGTTGGATGAACATCTAATGATCTCTGGAATATTCAGTAATGGTTGGATGCAAATATACTGCCTTAAAGTTGAATGAATGTATGCATTCAGATCTTAAGACAAAATACGGAGATAGAAGCTGAATACAAATGGAATTGCAGCAAAGTAGTTTATGTGTTAAAGTTGCATACAAAAATAACTGTAGCATTGAATACTAATATATTTCAGTGAAGTTGAATAAATATAGGTGTTGAATGTAAATAGGAGAGCTTGAAGTTGAACAAAAATGTGTTGTTGAATGTAGTATATTTTGTTGAATATGATTAAATGAGTTGTTGAATTTTGCAACAAGTGGCCAACTATCGACAGGTTAACACTTCAATATTTGAGAATAAATTAAAATGTCTTGGGTCAAAAAAAATTTAAAAAGAAAGAAAGGAAGAAAATATGTGAAGCGATCTACCCCCACCAAGTACACACCTAATTAATGGACCATCCCTGTTCATGTAATTTGGCCAGATTTAAGGTTTTGGCTGATGAAAATTCAATTTTTCCATGTGGACAATTTTGACAAACATGATATGCAACGCAGAAATCAAATTTCAAGAGTTTTACACCTTCTGACTGTCAGTCTAAACAAAAATTGCCTTGATTTTTGCTTGAACTTGGAAAAATCATGGTAATTATCCGTGATGCCTAAAAAAGCCACATATTTTAAGGTGACTCGATTTTGCAGAGGTATAGGGAACCCCTTTACTATACATCGATTGAAAGCTAATCAGTTATGAAATTTGAGAGCAAGTGTTTGAGTAAAAACCTGACATCTGGCAAAACACACAGCACTACATCATTCATAGATAAGAGTGTGTAAGGTGTTGAGGGTTTAAGGTTGGCTCACACGAGGGGAATATTTGCTGGGGAAAAGATGCAGGAACATTTCCAGGTACAGTTCACACGAAGGGAACAAGAATTTTTTAGGTGAACGTTCCCTGTGAATGGTCCCAAGATTTAAAACAAGTCTGAATTCATGAGCCCATTCGTAGAGAACAAATTTTGGTCCCTGCAAATGGATTTTGGTTCCAGCCACCATTCCTCGCAAATATTCCCCTCTTGTGTGCCGACCTTTATCCTAGAGCATGGCTTTGGAGCATTCCCGCAATTTGAAAAGAAATACGGCTTAAAATGTTGTGTTTAAAAACATTATTGACCATAAGATTGACAAGACTACCGCTATAAACTTTGCAATTTATGGCCTCTTTTTATAACTAGTTCGAATAATTAGTTTGAGTAAGCAGGAAATTGGGAATAACTGAGTGTGAATTAAGTGTAGTAAGACAACTGAAAAAACAGGACAAAACCAAGTGGAATGAACATTAGTTCAAAATAGTGGAGAATGGTAAATACCCAAGTTCAAAATAACAGGGTTCAACTGTATTAATATTTTGATTTTGATGGGCAAAAATAGGTTTGGTGCTGCTGCAAATACTTCTGAAAACAAATCCAAAATAACCATCTGGAAGTGGTTCCAATGTTGAAGTATTGAATAGTGAGCCCAAAGATTAGAGTTTGCACAATTTATGCGGGTTTTACATTATATCCAACACGCATTTCTCCTGGGTGTTTTGCTGTTCACACCCTTGCTGGAATGTAAATTGTACTGTAATGTTCAGCATAAAACTAGTTCCCTACATCAATCTTGTTAAAATCACTGATGAAGTCTGTTTTATTAGACGAAAAGGCGCAGATCATAAAGTTAACAAGATCAATTGCTCCTACATGATTAGTGTGACTAACGCACACATCACCAGGGAGCTTAAAAGGACAACTACATTAGTCACCTGCAAGCAAGCTCTCTTGGGTGCTGGGGGTGAAGGTGGGGGTGGGGAAGACGGGAAAAAATGGAAAGAGCTTGCACTGAATTAAGATCGCAAAACCTCTTTCCTTTTCCCCTGCTCCCCCCCTCCTGCCCCCTTCCCAAGAGCCTACTCACAGGCTACTGCATATGCCTGTATTTATACCTAAAAACGAATTTTTACATTTTATGAAATACACACCTATGGATTTGCGTACATGGACTACAAACTTTGCGGTTATACTCAGCATGCATCAGACAAACAGCAGCAAGTCACCCAAAATTTGCTTTCACTCCTACTTTCGTATTTTGTAGCCCAGTATGTCCTAATAATTGTGGTGTAGTTTTTTTTGTGAATATATTTTTTTCAAGAAATGAATTTTTCTGTTCAACCGCTCAAATACGTAAATTTTCACCGTGAATATTACCCAAGTTATGTGGCCTCCTGTAACGAATATACTTGACCTCTGGTATTTCTGTCCCATAATCCTTCGTTTTATCATCTAAACTTAATCCCCTGTCATTACTGAGGCTGGCAAAGAAATACTTAATTTTTGGTGAATATTTTTGTGTGACATACTTTTCCTATGTCGATAAGTAGCATCAAAACAGACAGTTTTAACAATAACCAATGTGACAGAATCTATTGAGCTTCAACCTTTTAAAAGAAAAAAAAGGATGGTTATAAAGTTACTGTAAAAATTTCCTTGTGTATCGTAAAAACCCGCAGATAAGCCGCATCTTTTTTCCAAAAATCGTTGCTAGAAATTGGGGGTGCGGTTTATCTGTGGGAACTTTTGAAAAAGGTGTTGTGAATGTCGATGTCAACGGGAAAACGTCACACAGCACGGAATTTCCCTTCCCCTACAAACCTGTTTGCAGCATTCACAACAGCCTGTAACTTCAACAGTAATCAATTCTCCACGCACAAAAAAGGATGGATGATTGAAGATTTATCAAAAGACTGGTTGGAAACGGTCTGGAGCAGAGTTGGTGGTTTAAGTTGCCAAAAGTTGATGCTTGTATGGGACTGATTTCATGTGCATCTGTCACCACCAATTCGGAGGACACTGCAGTCGTTGAACATGTAATGCACAGTTATTCCTGGAGGGATGACAGGTTTACTCCAACCTCTTGATGTCTGCATCAACAAGCCATTCAAAGATCACTTAAGAAGCAAGTGGCAGGAGTGGATGATTTTTGGGGAAAACACCTTGACTGCTAGTGGCTATACACACAAAGCTAAGTTGAATGTGATCTGCAACTGAATTAAGCAAGCATGGGATGATATCCCAACCATGATGACTCAAAAATCCTTTCGCAAGTGTTACATCATTAATGCATTTGACGGAGAGGAAAGTAAGGATCCCTTTGAGGATGTGGATGACGCAGAGCCAATCCATGCTGAACTGTACTATGCTGATACATGAGAAGGAGCAAGCAGAACTTGATCCAACAACTTACGAAATGATGTTTGGAAGCAGTGATGATGAGGAGGACTTCTATGGCTTGTAATAGTCTTGTACTGAATCTGGTTGAATTACAGAGTTTCATTCCAGAACTTTTCAATTGGCATGAAAATACCCGGCGGTTATTGACCTTTTTATATTTAATATTAAACTGCAAAGAAATTATTCTTCTTGACAAATGTTCCATCTGGTACTATTATAGATTGTGTAAACAAATAAATGCATTTTGTATTTTAATAAATAGTCTTTTTCCAACTACTGATGAACAAAGAAATAAAGACCCTGCTACACTGGGCAATGCTTCATGCAGTTTATCCATTTGTGTAAACTCTTAAAACATCATAGTGCTTCCAGTCCCAGTTTTCCATTTTCCGAATGTTCCACTCACTTTCCTGTTGTAATGCAAAAATCTATGTAAAACTGTGTTGAATGAATTAATTCCTGACAACAAATACCAGAAGATCAATCATATGTCAAAGTTGGTAGAAACGATGCTCGTTTCATTAAAGTACTAAAACTATGGGTAAGACTCAAGTATTCTCCATTGAAATGTTAATAGTGAGTTTACGTTCAATGAACAGAGGATGAAGAAGACTTGTCAAGACTCGACTTTGGATTTCTTTTGATTTCTTTCAAAAAACGTTTTTTCCAAAATTTGAGCTGCTCAATTCAGGGTGCGGCTTATCTGCGGATTTGGCTTATCAGTGGGTTTTTATGGTATTTGTGTTGTTCTTGAGACGAACTCAAAGTCTGGCAAAATTTATTTGCTAGTGACCATGAAATACACATGGTGTGTCTACTTGTCGCCACCGTTTACTGGCATAAATCACTACAATTTGTTAAAAAAATCTAACAAACACTCTTACCTTGTTTACTTATGATTTTATTAGCTGTTTCAATGATCATGTTATGCTCTACCACATTGTAGCCAGATTTCAGTTCCAGTTTATATATCTTCTCCATCTTATCATATAAGTTGCATGACTAGCGTGACATATAGATTCA